TAGTTTTCACCACTCCCCGTTCCCCCCCCGTCGCTCTCGCATCGAAGCATCAGGCTGTTATCATCGCATCATTTTCCCCTCCGCCCCCCCCTCTCGCGACCGTTTCCGTTTGGGCTCTCGCCCCCATTCTTTTCAGACCACGGGGTGAGCCAGCAAGACTGGGGCGAGGGCCCCCCCGTGGCCCCACGCGCGCAGCTGGCCCGCGACATCGCGGGTAGGTCGCCTCGGGTTGAGCTGGCCGTGTCGGTCTCGTCCTTGGTCTTTTGCGGCGCTGGCCGCCTGCCCCGTTGCCCGGGGGAAAGAGAAACGGCCTCGCGCATGATCTGCGGGGGGCGTCCGGTTCGCAAATCCCAGCATGCTCCGATTCCGAGGCGGCTAATCCTCGGCGTCGGAACCCGCTGGGGTTCACGTCGATTTCGGGTGCTCATGTTTCCCACGGCCCCGACCCGAACCCGATCCGAACCCGATCTGAACCCGATCCGAATCCGATCCGAGGGGGCGGGGGAGCGGCGGGCGCCGCCTGCCGCCCGCGCGCGCCGCCCGTTCCGCGAGTTCAAGGGCCGCCCGCCGCAGCCGTCGTCATCGTCAGTCGCCGCCGTCGTCGTCAGTCGGCGTCCCGTCTCTCGTTTCCCCCTCCGTATCTCGTCTCTCCTTCCCTCCTCCTCCTCCTCCTCCTCCTCCTCCTCCTCCTCCTCCGCCCCCCCCCCCTCCCCTCCCCTGGCCCCTGGTGGGCGCGCGCGAAGAAGCTAGCGTCGTCGCCGACCCCTCCTTCGATGGGGGGCAAAAGGGGGGGGGCGCGCACGCGCGCGCACACGCACACACGCACGCGCGCGCGCACGCATGCACATGCACACGCACGCGCACGCACACGCACACGCACGCGCACACACACGCGCACACACGCACACACACACACACGCACGCACGCGCGCACGCACGCACGCGCACGCGCGCACGCGCGCGCGCACGCGCGCACACGCGCACTCGCGCGCGCGCACGCACACATCCACCCGCACCCGCCCGCGCCCGCGCACGCGCACACGCGCGCACGCGCACCCGCGCGCACGCGCACGCGCGCACGCGCGCGCACACGAGCACGCACACGCACGCGCACACGCATACGCACACGCACACGCACACGCACGCGCACGCACGCACGCGCACACGCGCACGCACACGCACGCGCACGCGCACAGGCTCACGCGCACGCGCACGCGCGCACGCACGCGCACACGCACACGCAGACACACACACACACACACACACACGCACACGCACACTCACGCGCACACGCGAACACACGCGCGCACGCACACGCGCACGCGCGCGCACGCGCACGCGCACGCGCACGCGCACGCGCGCACGCGCACGCGCACGCGCACGCGCACACGCACGCGCGCACGCGCGCGCACGCGCGCACGCGCGCGCACACGCACGCGCACATGCACGCGCGCCGCGCGCACACGCTTGCGCGCGCACAAACACACACACGCACACGCGCACACACGCACACACACACGCACACAACACACAACACACAACACACGACACCGACACACAACGCACAACACACAGCACACAACACACAACACAGAGCACACAACACACAACGCACAACGCACAACACACATAACACAGCACACAACACACAACACACAACGCACAGCACACACCGCACAACACACAACACACAGCACGCACCACACAACACGCAACACACAGCACACAACACACACAAAACACAACACACAACACACAACACACAACACACAGCACACAACGCACAACGCACAACACACAACACACCACACAACATAAAGCACACACCACGCAACACACCACACACAACACAACACACACCACACAACACACAACACACAGCACACAACACACAACACACAACACACACCACGCAACACACAACACACAACACAACACACACCACACAACACACAACACACAGCACACAACACACAACACACAACACACAACACGCAACACACGACACACAACAACACACAACACACAACACACGACACACACAGCACAACACACAATACACAACGCACAGCACACAATCCACAACACACAACACACAACACACAGCACACATCACACAGCACATTCATCCACACACACACACACGCACGCACGCACACACACATCACACGCACACAACACACACAGCACACAACACACACAACACACATCACACACAAACTCACTCACACACACACGCACACACACACGCACACACACACGCACACACAACACACACCACACAGCACACAACACACAACACACAACACACAACACGCAACACACAACACACAACACACAACACACAACACACAACACACGACACACAAAGCACAACACACAATACACAGCGCACAACACACAAAACACAACACACAACACACAACACACAGCACACAGCACACCGCACACAACACATTAATTCATTCATTCATTCATTCATTCACACACACACACGCACGCACGCACGCACACACAACACACGCACAGAACACACACAACACGCAACACACACAACACACATCACACACAAACTCACTCACACACGCGCACACACACACGCACACACACACGTGGCGACATTTGCATAGTAGGCAACACCTTGGGAGAGAGACGTATACTAATATTTTCTCCGACGGTAGGACCCCGCGTGATAATCGATTTAGCTTGCCTCTCGCCTTTCTCTTCTTTTCCTGGCGGGGGCTTCCTTCCGCCCTCTCCGTCGTCCTCCTCCTCCTTCTCCTCCCTCTCCTCCTCTTGTTCCTTCTCGTCCTGCTCGTTTCATGTCTCATCCTCTTCCTCTTCCGCCTCCTCCTCCTCCGCCTCCTCCACCTCCTCCCTCTCCTCCTCATGTTCCTCCTCCTCCTCGGCCTTTGCCTGGCCCTCCTCCACCTCCTCCTCCTTTCCCCCTCCTCATCGCCGCCCTTGTCGTTCTCCTCCTGCACCTCTCCTTCCTACTAGCAGGGGCGCGCGCGCGTAGATTTTCCTCGGCGCCCTCGCCGCCACGCCTGGCAGGGGCGCGTTCTCCGACGGCGAAATCGCGCAGCCAGGGACAGCCCCGCGGGCCAGGCCATCGAGACAACTCCGCGAACCGCTGGCGCGAATCATTCAGGGAAGAAGCTCCCGCCTCACACTTCCTCAAGATTCAGACCCCAAGGACCCGAATATGGAGACAGTTGCAAGGTTTACGATGGCCCGTTCGGATTAGCAATATGAAGTGCGGGCCCCATAGGGATCGGGCTCCCGCCTGAGACCTCCTCGCCTGATACTTGTCCCAGATTCACGCCTGAAGAAACCAAAAATGAAGACAATTACAGGTTTGAGGGCTACCCGTTCGGATTACTCACATGAGCTGCGGGCCCCATAGGGGGAGGGTTTCAGCTTGCGACTTCTTCGCATCACTCACAATCGAGGCTCCCCGCCTGATATTTCATATTCAGGCCTCGGGAGCCCAAAATTGACGACAGATACCAGATCCCGGTGGCACGCTCGGATTGAAAACGTGAGCGGAGGGCCCCCATCGGGAGGAGGCTCCCGCCGGAGATTTCCTCGCAATTCACTCACAGACGAGGCTCCCGCTTGATACTTCCTCCATATTCAGGCCTCAGGTCCCTAAAAGTGACGACAGTTACAGGACCCCGATGTCCTGCTCAGATTAATTTGGTGAGCGACAGGCCACATGGGGGGGGCTCCCGCTTAAGATCTTCGCAATTCACTCACAGACGGGGCTCCCGCCTGATACTTCCCATATTCAGGCTTCAGGGGCCCAAGAGTGACGACAGTTACAAGATCCCGATGACACGCTCGGATTGAAAACATGAGCGGGGGGCCCTCATAGGGAGAGGGCTCCCGCGGGAGAATTCCTCACAGTTCACTCACAGACGAGGCTCCACGCAACTTCCTCCATGTTCAGGCCTCGGGAGCCCCAAAGTAACGAAAGTTACAGGGATGAGGATGACCCGCTCGGATTAAAAACATGAAATGCGGGCCCCAAATGGATGGGGCTCCCGCCCGAGACTTCCTCACAGTTCACTCGCAGACGAGGCTCCCGCCTGATGCTCCCTCCATATTCAGGCCTCGGGAACCCCAAAATGACGACAGTTACAAGGATGAGGATGACCCGCTCGGATTAAAAACATGAAGTGCGGGCTCCAGAGGAAGGGTGCTCCCGCCTGAGACTTTCTCACAGTTCACTCACAGACGAGGCTCCCGCCTGATACTTCCCTCCATATTCAAGCTAGCGAATGAGTGGGTGAGTGAGTGAATGACGGAATGAATGAATGATGATGATGAGGATGATGCAGATGATGAGTGAGTGGGTGAGTGGGTGAGTGAGTGTGTGATCGAGTGATGGTCAAGGTGATCAAGATGGTCTGTGTGCGAGTGAATGTGAGTGTGAGTGTGTGTGTGTGTGTTTGTGTGTGTTCCTGCGCGGGGTGACCAGAGATAACAAGAACCCTACTTCGGATGTGGGGAAAAACACCTTGGGAGAGAGACGTCCCGCATGTGACTTGGTGGCACCGCCCTCCGCTGGCTTTCGCGGGAACTCTCACAGCAGTGGCGGCAGCTGCGCGCCTGGCAGCACCCTTAGAGAGGGCGAGGGGGAGTAAGCGAAGAGGACGAGGAGGAGGAGGAGGAGGAGGAGGAGGAGGAGGCAAGCAAGGAGGCATCCAGTAGAGAGCAGGGCGGAGAGAAGGGGTCGGGAGTGAGGTCCAGCAGTGCTTCCTTCAAAGCGAGAGCCCAGCAGAGGAGGCCAGGAAGATGGGTAGACTTTCGGAGGGCGCGCAGATCTCTTCGGTCGTCGCTGCACCCCTCTCCCCGCTCCCCCGGCGGCGCCCCCGGCGCCGCACACAGCTCGCTGCGCTCGCCAGGGAAAGGATCTGGACACGGGGCTCAGCGCCGACCAAAGAAATCCTCGCGGCCCTTTGAGACTGGATGCAGATCCAGCGCTCTTGCTGCAGGGTGGTCGTCTGGCAACGAGAACGGCGACCTGCTGTACAAGATGGAGTACCAGAACACTGGGGCCATCGATGCCAACCACGACCACGAGGCCGCATGCGCCGTCTGCGAGCTGGCTCACTGGGAGTCGGTATACACGCAGTGGGGGCGGAGCACGACTTGCGCCAGCGGGCACCTCACACTGTACACCGGCTTCATCATGTCCGAGCGCTACAACCATAACAAGGGAGATCAGCCACGCGCAGAGGGTGGTGGGGGGAGGGGGGAGGGCTCCTTAGAAGCACCCCTGCTTCTTAGAAGGCGCAGGCCTGATCTATAGATGCAATGCCGGCGCCTTCTAAGAAGCAGCCTGCTTCTACGAAGCCCTCCCCCCTCCCTCCACCCCCTTGTGCGCACCGCCAAGGAGAATTCTTGTGTGTCGACTCCGAGAGGGCGGTGACCGCGAACTCAAACGGCGGAGACCAGAACGGGGGCCTCCTCTATTGGAGACGCTTCGCGCTCACCGCCCGCCATTCCTTTCAGTTCGCGCCAGACGAGCTGAAAGGAGGAGGAGGAGGAGGAGGAGGAGAAGGAGGAGGAGGAGGAGGATGGTCTCAAGACGGGTTGAGAGCATGCCGAACGAGGCTCAGGACCGCCCGATGGGCGGCAAACGGCCCCAAGAAGGCTCGAGCAGGCAGCAGACGGCCCAAGGAACAGGTAGGCCACACCCTATGAGGAGGAGGAGGAGGAGGAGGAGGAGGAGGAGGAGGAGGAGGAGGAGGAGGAGGAGATGGGGAGGGACGGCCAAGGAGGGCGTCCAGACGGCCTAAGCGCGAGTATCCCCGGGTTGGACCCGAGCCCCGTGCGAACGTATCCCACTCCAGGCCCCGGACGGGATCGGCCTGGGCCCTATCCCGGGCCCACGTCGGGCCCGCAATCGCGGGGGGGAAGGGCCAGGGAGAGTGTCCCAAACAGCGTGCCAAATCTTATGTTTTTTTTTTGTTTAACTACGTATTATAATTCAAGAAATGTCCTACACTTGAATGTGACGCAGACAGCCCCGAGAAGCTGCAGGCCCCTCTCGAGGGCCTCCGAAGTCGGTGTGGGGTTCCCCCGTGCACCCACGCAGAGTTCCTCCAGTGAGTTGGACGCTAACCTCAAAGTCCCACGTAGACTCTTCCCAGAGGCTCCTCATGGGCATCCCTTCTGGTGCCGTAAGGTGGGCTCTCCCCGTGAGGCCCCCTCCATTTATTCCGACGGACGCCTCCCCCAAGACTCCCCAGATAACACCCCCCCCGCAGACTCCCATGGGGAGTCCTCAGAAAAGTCCTCATAAGGCCCTCCCCTCACACGGTCCCCCCGAGAGACTCCCTCGTATACTCCCGATGGGAACCCCTCATTGGTGCCGTAAGTGGAGCTATGTATTTATACATACATATCTGCCGGCGGAAGGGGAGCGGGGCCGCCAGGCCGGTACCTGCGCTCCCCATGGCCGCTCCGGGGCTCCGGGAGCGCTCCTGTCCGGGCCAAGAGGCGGCCAAGACGTGTCCACGGAGGCTCAAGTGGCCCCCATACCGGTCCAAGACGGCCCCGGGGCGCTCAAAGATCGCCCCTGGACGCTCAAGATGGCTCCCATTGAGCCCAAGAAGCCGCTACGACACCCCGCCCCAAGCGGCCAAAATTATTGATTTTGCATTGGAAAACGTGCATTTGTAGCATCTACGTCTTTTCGGTCTTCACGGCGTGCACGAGGGTACAAGAGGCCCCCACGACGGCCCCGAGACGGCCCAAGAGGCCCCAAACACGGCCCAAGAGGAGCCCAAGACAGCCCCAGAGGCGGCCAAGGCGTGCTCAAGAGGCGGCCAAGACGTGTCCACGGAGCCCCAAGAGGCTCCCAAATCGGTCCAAGACGGCCTCAGGGCTTTCAAATATCGCCCCTGGACACCCAAGATGGCTCCCACAGAGCCCAAGAGGCCACTACGACGCCCCAAGAAGCTTTCCAAGGGAGCCCCCAGCGGCCCAAATCAGCGGTTTTGCATTGGAAAACGTACATTTTTAGCGTGTACGACTTTTCGGTCTTCACGGCGTGCACGACGGTACAAGAGGCCCCGAAGACGGCCCCAAGAGGCTACCAACACGGCCCAAGACAGCCCGAGGGGCGGCCAAGGCGTGGCCAGAGGGCCCCATGAGGCTCCCAAAACGTTCCATGGCGGCCCCTGAGCGCTCAAAGCTAGCCCTTGGACGCCCAAGACTGTTCTCACAGTGCCCAAGAGACCGCGAAGACGCCCCAAGAGGCCCCCAAGAGGCTTCCCAAGAGGGTCCCAAGAGGCCAGAATCATTGATTTGGCATAGGGGAACGTATATTCTTAGCGTCTACGACTTGTCGGTCTTCGCAGCGGTGACGACGGTACAAGCGGCCCCCAAGAGAGTCCCAAAACGGCCCAAGAGGCTCCAAAGACGTCCCGAGAGGGGGCCAAGACAAGGAGGAGCCCGAATCGAAAATCCTACCCTTCCGCCTCGAGAAGGTCCCAGGAGGCCCCTGGAGGCCCCTAGGAGGCTCCATGAGGCCCCCACGAGATCCCCCAAATAGGCCAAACCCAGCGGGGGCTTATGGAGGGGAAGATTCTGATACGCCAAGAGACCCACGAGGGGTCGGCGGGCTCAGGCCAGCTCGGTGCAAGTGTGAGCGGCATGCGTCGTTGCATCTCGCGGTGAACGTCGGTGCCGGAAACACATCCAAAATCCGGGATCCTCCTCCTCCCTCCCTCCGTCCCTTCCCTCTTCTTCCTCCCCCACTCCCCCTCCCTCCTCCTCCTCCACTCCCCCTTTCTCCCTCCTCCTCCTCCCTTCCGCCCCTCCCGTTCCACCTCCCTCCCTCTTTCCCTCCCCTCCCTCCCTCCCCTCCCTCCCGCCCCTCCCTCCCTTCCCATTCCGCTCCCTTCCTCCCTCCCCCCTTCCGCGAGCCCCGCTGCCCTGCGCCGAAGTTGCAAGAATGGCCCACGGCAGTGCAAAGACGGCCTTGGCGGGCGGTAGGCCGTCTTCTGGGGATCTTGGGTTTCGGCCCCGGGGGGCCGTTTGGCCCCAGTCCGCCGGGGCCCGTCGGAGGCCGATCCAGGATGGAAAACGGCCCTCCAGCGGACGTCGGGGGGGGGGGGGGGGGGCGTCTTCCCCCCCCTCGTCCTCAAGGACGGGAAGGAAAAGGGTAATGGGGGAGGGGGGGGAGGAGGAGGAGGATGAGGAGGAGGGGGGGGGGAGAAGGAGGAGGAGGGAGGAGGAGGGGGAGAAGAAGGAAGAGGAGGAGGAGGAGGAGGAGGAGGAGGAGGAGGAGGAGGAGGGAGGGAGGAGGAGGAGGAGGAGGAGGAGGAGGAGGAGGAGGAAGAGGATGATGAGGAGAAGGGCGAGAAGGAGGGTCGTCGCGGGCGACGCCCGCCTGCGCGTGCTTGCCCCCGCTCCGCGGTGCGCGCCCGCTCCGAGAGAGGGTGGCCCGCGCGCGCTTGCCACCCGCCCCTTCCTCCTACACGTGATGGGCGGAACAATGTCGATGCCGCTGGGTGACATCCGTCGCCGCGGCTGGATTCGCTTCCAGAATTGTAAACGAGGGCGCCTCTGGCGAGGTCCAGCGAGTAGCGGTATCGACGTCGTTTCGCGTCCACATCCTAAACAGCGACGCTGTGCGGTCCGCTTCGAGCGGTAAAATGTATGGATTTTTCTCTCGGACGCGTTTCGACGAAGTTTGACTCGATTTGTCCTTGACCTCGGCTAGAACCAAAGCGCGCGCGAAGCGCGCGCGATGGTTCGAGTATATGTATATGTATGTATATATATATACACATATATATGTATATGTATATGTATATGTGTGTATGTATGTATGTATGTATGTATGTATGTATGTATGTATGTATGTATGTATGTATGTATATATGTATATATGTATATATATATATATATATATATATATATATATATATATATATTCACACTTCTGCATATATTTGTATAGGGCGAGGGACCCCGGAAAGAGCCCCCCCCCCAACGAATTTGGCCCTCCCTGGGCCTCCGGGCAACCCTCCAGACGACCCGGGGTGACCTGACGAGAGCCCGAAGACGGCCCCAGACGGGTTCTTTGCGTTTTGGCGCGTCCCCGAAACGACTGCAGATAACCCCCAATACGGCCCGCGACGACCCACAAGACGTTGTTATGCCCCCAAAGATCTTTCCAAAACGTCCCAGGAGGAGGCCTCCAAGAACCCTCCCAAGAAGGCTCCGATAAGCAACAATAATTTTTTTTGGGGTGGTGGTGGTGGTGGTGGTGGTGGTGGTGGTGGCGGTGGTGAATTTTGGGGTGCTCCTCTTTTCAGCTTCCCGACGCACCAAGACGGCGGCCTTCCGGGCGTCCGAGGCCGCCTGGGAGGTGCCAAGATCGCCCCGCAACCATCCGCAAGAGCTTCCAGGCAGTCCAACATAACCCAAAACGACGCAAAAGGGGTCGAATATGGCCTTACGAGAGCCTCGTGGCGGCCCAAGATGGCCCCAAAACGCCCTCCGAAGCATTCCAAATCGTGCCCCGGTCGTTCAGGGAAACCGCGGTTGGAGGCAAAATGGCTCGAGGAAACCCACAGGGGCCCCCAGAACACGCCCAGGAGGCCTCCAGAAGGCCTTAACAATGCTTGGAAGCCTTTTGTGAGGCCCCCAGAGGCTCTCCAAAGAGGAGCCCCCGCAACAAAAAAAAAACTGAGGAGGATGGGGAGAATGTGCAGGGTATGGCGAGAATGAGGAAAAATAAACATGGAGGAAGGGTCACAAACAACATTAGTATAGCGGCGATGCCGGAAAAATGCAATAAGGAATTATCGATAAATTGTCGGCTTGACCTTCCTGCCATTTCGCCCGCATACCGAACTTCAAGGGCCAAGGTACATGGCGCGAAGCGCCACTGCAGCCTTGTTTGCGTTCCCCAGTCAGAGCTCGCCTCTGTAGGGGTCCTAGCGGATTCAAAAGGTTGGGTGAGGTGTGCCGCCGATTTCGGTGGCAGGCCCGGGTGCCCTGATGCCTACCCTCTAGCCCTATAGCCCGATTGCCTGATAGCCCTATAACTTTATAGCCCTATAACCCTATAGCCCTACAGCCCTGATAGCCCAACACCCCACATAGCCCAATAGCCCAATAGCCCTATAGCCCTATAGCACTATAGCCCAATAGCCCAATAGCCCTATAGCCCTATAGCCCTATAGCCCTATAGCCTTATAGCCCAATGGACCCATAGCCCTATATCCCTATAGCCCGATAGCCCAATAGCCTTATAACCCTATAGCCCTTTAACCCCATAGCCTCATAGCCCTAAAACAATTATGTTTGGGTTTTTTGGTATCATATATATATATACACACATAGTTTGCCATCATTGCAATCCACAGAGTGCACAGTCCCCATGCAGCCTCATATACTTCATAGGATCCCCCCACCGAGTCTCCACCCGACAGAACTCCCCATCCATGGTCCAGGGTCTGG